CCCCCCCCCCCCCCCCCTCGACCCCTCTGTTTCTTAAGCAGAATGAGTTTAAATCCAATTTTTACGTCAATTGGAATATTGAAACACACGGCCGGCTATGAATTGTCTATATTCGTGTGTCTGTATCTCCGGAAGCACCTGCTACCGCTCATCGATTATATACAGGATGTGCATAGAATATTTTCCCGTTTTCTTTTTGCTACAGTAATTTGCAATTTTCAACTAGATACCCACAGACAACACACAGTTCACAGATACTGATTGCAGAATTAAAACTGACTCAATATCTTACACATCAGTTTTGTACAGGGGGGCGTGGAGGCCGTTCACATGTTATCAGCCTCTTCACCGGCGTTAAAACCTATCTCGTGTAGCCACTTCACGGACTTTGTTTTATTATTCAGTGTTCTGTCTGACGACAGGTCCATATGAACAGGACCCTTCCATCCTTTTCTCGGACTGGGACCTGTTCATATACGTTCTTGGCAGATGATCCAGAAGTGGTTTGCCATTGCCTTCTTCTGTGTGTGAATGGAGTAATTGTTGGGATGCCACGGAGGAAAACTCCGTGTTGCCTAGACCACGGCCTTGCCCAACACAAGTTATAAATTCGGGCACCGCCGGGAATCGAACCCGAGACCCCAGGATTACAAGGACAGCTTTATTCCCGTTACTTTTTAATTTCGTTCTTATACAATGCGCTGTCAAGAGGAAGTAGATAGGGCGGGCTTAGACAAGCATCACGCGCAGAGAGCTCTGGGGAAGAAACTATATGTAAGACCAAGAAAGCGATGGAACGATAACATACCTATGAATCTAAGCTCGATTTGTGTGTGTGTGTGGACGTAAGGCGGATTTAAATTATTAAGAATCCCATGTGCAGTTGCCAGGTTTTGTATTCGATGTCGTGAACCTCTGGGTTAGGTTCAAGAGAGTTGGCTGATGGTTGTCGTGGACTAGTGACGGTGCACACCATAATGGATGGCGAATTGTGTAGTTAGTAATTTATGTTGAGGTAATTAAATATCTGATCTGTGCTTCGTGTTACCGCCTCAGACCGGCTCAGTATTCTCACTGTGATAAATGGAGACGTCAGAAACCACACAATTAAAATGTGGCACTGGCCCAGTATCTGATATATGTTCATGCCATTGAATTATCTTCACCAGACAACGCTCGCTTCGTCTCCACCCTCTGTCAAATGCACTTTGCGCATAGCAAGTGGATTCTTTTGTCCTGGTCTCAACTACAATATTCCATAGCCCCCTCTTCTCCTCCCCCCTCCACGGGGGCCCTCTGTCATGTGTCACATACAGTCGAACACTCCAGAACATAAGTGCAACCACTGGAAAGTCATCGATTAGATTGATTTTGCCCCAAACGAGCAAAATTATATGATTGGATCTGTATGTAGAGGTCCTCGTTCGACCTCCGTCTCGATAGACTCATTGTCTCGGAATATGTTCGGGAAATTTTTTCCCTATTTATCGCGTTTAAGTCACACGTAGGAGACGATAAATGCATACATAATTTTTTAGTCTGAAGGAAAAAAAAAAGATTTTTGTGGGTACCTACTAGAAGGTGGGAGGGTCTATAGTAACATGGCTTGTCTGTGAGAACGGCGTTAAACTGGTTCACGATAACGAACATTTCGCAGGCTTTTGTGAGTAGGGTAATGAAAATTCCTGTTCCACAGACCGCAGGGAAGTTTCTAACTATTTGAGTGGCTGTCGTCTTTTCAAGGACTCTGCTCTAAAGTGGTCTAACATTCGTAGATCAGTGATTGATTTGTAGTTTATTTAACAAAACTATTTCGACTGCACACCGGTCTTTAAATACGTTTTGAAACGTTTGAATTAAAGTACTTTTTTTTTTTAAACCCGGACTTTATAGCTCTTCGCCTCATTTCAGGCAATTATTTGGTTAATGCGAGTGAATACCTCGGTATGAAGGACCTCCTGCCAGGCGTGAAGCATATTGTGCCGTCGTTCCACCTTCGTTCTGCAAGTTGATAAATTGCCAAAGTTGTCTGCGGAGTTTCCAGGCCATTGTCTGCAGTTTCTTTCTCTGCAAACTTCTTCACGAAGTCCCTTCACGGAGCGGGCTGAAACTAAGTATAGCGTACTACACATGCTGAAAACACCAACTTATTTATGCGCTTAATATTATATAAACAGAATTAATGGGAGAAAAAGGAACGCAACAGGAGAAACTTTTTACCACAATGTGTGGGTTTGTGATAGACGCCAGTGTTCGCAGATTCATGCAAGAACAAGGCCACTCTCTGTCTGGCCGACAACAAATGAGCTCAGTTTCCATGGCAACCATCTTGGACGCTTCATTTTCTCTTGTATACTTGTTGCGGATTTCCCCAGTCAAATTCCGGGATGACATGACCTTCTCCTTTCAAATCCTTTCATTGTAATGCATGATTTATATCCGAATTTATATGCCACATAACTGAGACAGCAAGTCTCTGCAAACTGGAATTTATTTTCTATAAATATAATTATTTTATTCCTTCTTTTATTTTTTATTCCTTTGGTTTATGCTTTTTTATATATTAAAATACATAATAAAATTCAGGTCAATACACAAAACTTGATTTAGATGTTAAAATTTAAAATTTAAATGTTAAAATTTAAAATTTAAATTTGCGCCATTCATCACTATAAGGATGTTACATCAGAGCGCTTTCATTCACTTCACAACATGTTTCGATGTAATACATCATCTTCAGGTGTTGTCTTTTAAAACTATTTTATATTTTAATGCATGTCTTTCAATATATTCATTATTGTAGCATGTGTTCCGCTGATCCTCCCGTTTTACGCATCTTATGTTTGTTTTGATTATTCTGTAAATAAATGTAATAAAATTTGGGAGTTATTTATTTTATATGCAAATAAGTTTTGGAATATGAACTATATTGTAACAGTAAGAACTCATATATTTTTCCTGTTTGTATTCCGTCGCACTGCCTTCCTAACACAAAACACAGTGAACACGTTTGTGCACTATTTCTTCAATCGTGCTGGTTTACAAAGCGCAACCTCGTCATCATCTTTCACTCTGTGCCCGCAGGCAGAGAGTGTCGTCCGAAGGAAACACGCCCTTAACAAAGCAACACACTCTCCTTCCTATTGCAGTTTCGCTGTAATCTGCTTTAATCTTGGCGAAGTTCTTAACGATGTCGTAAGAGCACTCTGACGACTGAGGAAGGAAGCACTCAACAATAAAGTCTTACGGTTTCCGAGACAACCAAAACTCTTCCCGTCTAGCCCACTACTCAGGGGTGACCACAGCATCTTTTCTTGTCTGTGGCGCGTGTTTCTTCTTCTCATTCTCTACCATTCATTCTCTCTTTTCCTTTCTCTGTCCTTTCCTTCTTATCTTACCCTCTCTTTCCGTCTATTCTTTTGTCCTTCATCTCCTCTCTACAGTTATTTTCCATCTTTGTCTTCTTCTCAATCATCTGTCTCTGCATTTCTCGTTCTTTCTGTGAATCTTTTTAAATCTTATTTTGTCTTCAATTCCCCTGTTTCGTTTTCTCCCCCTCTGCTTAGCCCTCGCCTTAACAAGTGCCCACGGCTCACAGATAGTAAAGAAAGAAAGTCGGACGTACTTGTGCCGTTGCTGCGCCAAATCCGCGTGTCGCGTCCATTTTCTCGTCTCTGAGACGACGCACTCCGTCGTTTCCTCTTATTGTAACGACTTCTTCACTCTGCAGACAGTTCGGCTCTTTCCAGGGACCCAGGGCCCTCGAGAGTCCCCGATTGCCAGGGCATCCTTAGTATCGTATCTTGAGTCATGACGACTTGCTCGTCCTGTTGCAGATCCGACCACGATGGGCAGCTGACCCCGCACAGAGCCGGACTCTGTGTTTTAGTTTACGTCCGCGCCGCCCCAGAGTGACGATGGCTCTGCTCCTGCGTCGACGGTCCCTCCTCCTGAAGATTGTGCTGCTGATTTTCACCGCCTGGTTCACTGTCGCCTTCCTGCTGTACATGGAGCAGCGGGGGTCTCCCGCGGACAGTAACGCCGTCGTCAGACCTGGTGACTCGAACGTCGACCCTGCGTTACCTCATCCCGCTGCGCTGTCGAAGAAGATACCGGACTCCAGTTCTGAAAAGGGACTCCCGGCGGTAGTGCCTTCCGGTAATCAAAACGCGGCCCCAGAGGTGGACGCTGGTCCTGAGGAGGGGGTGGGGGGAGTGTTGGTCCCTCCCAGGGACCCTGACGAGGACTCGAGCAGTGTGAAGTACGGCGAGATGGGTAAACCAGTGGTACTGCCAACCAACATGTCGGCGGATGTGAAGAAGCTAGTAGACGAAGGCTGGCAAAAGAATGCCTTCAACCAGTACGTCAGCGACCTCATATCAGTCCGCCGGAAGTTGCCCGACCCGAGGGATCAGTGGTGAGTACGATGGATTTTTTCTTTGTTTGTTTGTGTGTTGCTCCTCTCATGTTCTGGCCCATAATTGCACTTTCCCACGAATGTAACCTTCCACCGCGACCCTGTAATTTTCGCACTCCAGAGACCGGCGATAAGGACTGGAAGCCCGCGTGCATACCGGAGTTTGGGCCAACTCAGCCTCCGATCCGATGTGTAGCGGGGTCTTTCCCCGTGCGTAAGGACTAGGGGTTATCCGTTGAAGCCCGAAGCTCATCTAAATTACATTTTAAGGATTCAGTCCGTACCGCGAAGAAAACACAAGTCTTCACCATTACAGAGATCAACTGGTTAACGCTGTTTAAGGAAATAATCCCCGTTTACAGCGATGGTGATACGAAACACATGAATATAAAATGAAGGGTTATTGATGAAACAGGTGGTGCGTATAGTTACCACAGGGCTTCAAAGGGTTATGGTATTTTCAGTCACCCAAATGCGTTAATGTCGTGGAATGTTGTTTAGTACAGCAAAAATTCACGTCAGATTCTGAGTGTCTCTAGGATATCACGGGTCCTTGTTACTGACAGTACCCGTCTCGTTGACATCTCGGGGAGAAACAGGAGGGCGATTTCGGTAGCACCGAAGAGCCCGCTTGTGCTCCTCATTTTAAATTCTCTTTCTTTATCACGGTTCTGTGAATAGCGGACTGATTCTTTGTCCTTCGTTCGGAATTCTGTACTCCGGTATTGGATGGTGCAAAACACGGTAGGAATGATCACGGAGGCGGAGAGGGGCCCACCCGCACTGTTCTATTCAGATTTACTAGATCCTCGCTGCCCGGGTATTTCCTGGGGATGAAACACAGGGTATTGTTGAAGGGGGCTCTCTTATACCACGAGCAACCGAAGTACCCAGACCAACAGTGGTCTAGGTGGAGGTCAGGACTTCTATTAAAGGAACGTCCTGGTAAAACCTCGCCATCGGACACGACACTGAGCCACTTTCGTCCATCCACCATCTTCAAAAAAGATTTCTCCTTTAAAATTATCTACCGTATCATCCCCCGTCTTTATGGTGGCAGATTTTAAAGACGTTGTACCACCAAATTTTCCTTTAGCATGTCTTGTATCCCCTAATTTAACTACGCGCCCCAAACATTGTTTCCTCCTTGAATAACCTCTCATTTAATTCGACTTTTAAAACATTTTTTTTTCGTTGATCCAGCCTTCTCCCCCCACACACACACAAGTGCACGCTTCGCTGCGTCACGGGACAGATGATGAACATCGATCAAGTCCGGAGCCGTAGTGTTTATAGAGGTAATTAGTCACAATTCAGTAGCCGGAGCTGCATGAGTGACTAAGGCACTGTTTCCACAGTAACAGGTAATTTCTTCAATAGTCGAGAGACTTAAGGCTGATCGTCGAAGTTCCCCACGAAATTTCTGGCCCTTTACTGAACCCAAGGATTTATCGCCGTGATCACGAGTCGACCACACGCCAATTGCCTTGGGCCAATCCATCCTGTACTTTCTCGTCGTACTTATTTTTTTAAGATTAGTTTTTAATAATATCCTCCCGCTCATGATTAGGTCTTCCGAGTGTCAGTTCCTCGTACCGTGGGCTATCGCGTGGATTAGTGGTAGGTAATGTGGGGGATTATATGGGACCCATTCGGTCAGAAATCAGATTCGCGCGATTTCATGTAACGTGTTACGAAATTTCTTTCAAAACCGTTGTGAGGCGTTGGATAAGAAATATGACAGACAGAACTCCCCATTATGCCTTAATTTCAAGTGATGTTGTCTGGACCAGGATTTACCAATTCGGCTAATTTTATTTATGTCATAAATATGACGTCATGTGAAGGATTGGGGGCCCCCCCCTTTTTAAAACAGTTTCCTTGATATGTTTAGACATTCGGTAGGACTCCTTGGACGAGGGATCGGCCCGTCGCAAAGCCTCTACCTGTACACAGGACAGCGCGACACAGAAAGACGCCGACAAACATCCATGCCTCGAGTGGGATTCGAACCCACGGGCCCAGTTTCCCATCGCACACGGTCACTACAAGAAATTAAAGTTTCCGTCTTAAGGCCCTGCGACCTCGGAGTGATTGGCGCGCGTTTAATAACCGCCCGGTCGTTATTAAACGCGAGTCTCCGTTTAATCCAGACGTATTCCAGAAGTGTCACTCATGAAGGGCGTAAGTGTCCGACGACGTGAAACTGTGGTTTCAAGAGAGCGTAGAATTAAGAAATAGGAAGAAAGAGTAGAGGAAGGAATGAGAACTGAAAATAAGACACAAAGTGAGCTTAGAAATTATTCCACTACGTCAGCATTCAGTGTTTTGAAACGTAAGAGATTTGAAGCAGCTTTGCTGGCGAATCCATACAAACAATCATGACGGACATTGGCTCTTATACTCCATGATAACCGCCACGGTGGTCTAGCGGGGCCTTGTAATCCTGGGGTCTCGGGTTCGATTCCCGGCGGTGCCCGAATTTATAACTTCTGTTGGGCAAGGCCGTGGTCTAGGCAACACGGAGTTTTCCTCCGGGGGCTTCCCCGGTTTCTCCGTGGCATCCCAACAATTACTCCATTCACACACAGAAGAAGGCAATGGCAAACCACGTCTGGATCATCTGCCAAGAACGTATATGAACAGGTACCAGTC